GTTACTTGAAAGGAAACGCTATATATTTTATTCAAAGTAAGCCTCATAATTCGAAAACTCGTTTATTTAAACATTTTTCTCGAGATGTTTTAGCAGAGGCTCAAGTTTAATCAAAAGTTGAAAATGCGGTGATTTATGGATAGCAATTCCTATGGATGACTTGGTTTGATCGACTAAAATCAAGGGAAAAACATTAATCAGGAGCCAGTTTTATAAAAAACTTAAGTCATAAAAGACAACTTTTTGATTTGCGTTACAAGCAAAAGATTTTATAGATTTTCTTTACTTATTCTTTTGTCCTAGTAGCCATTAATGTCACTAAATTTTTTCCTTAGCGTTTTTCCTACTGATCAAAAACAGACTCTAAGGAAAATAATCTTATTGCTGTTTTTCAGACAGCATTTTGAAACTTGCTATTAAACAGTATAAATGTTTCTTTATAAAAGAAAGATAATGCATGAAAGAGAAGCCTGGACAAATGCGAATAGCTGAAATCAACAAAGAAAGGAGTCCTTTGACATGACAACGTACATATGATGATGATTCTCACGAATGAGTAAAAAATTTGATTGACGATATATCCCGTCTCGGTGCATCCCTATTTCGAGCACCATATATCAATACAGTATCATAAGGCGATCATAATAAATGTTACTATCAATTATCCAAAGTAAGGTGAAGAAGAAAACGTTGAAGTAAATCAAACATAGCACGTGGTTGATCACTGGGTACCATATGACCGGCATTTCGAATAGATGCTAGAGTAAATTGGCCAGCTGTTTGAACATATCCGGCTACTTCTGCATCGGTCGGCTCGACCTTCCATATGAGCCTCGGTGCGCGTCTAAATTCATCAGCTCGTGACCACTGAAGAGCCGAAACCCAATTGAGTGTTAATTTGTGAGCACAAGTGATGTCCAAAAGTCCACTATAGACGAGTACTTTGTAATTATCAAAAAGTACTTGCAGTTTTAGTTCGGGAACGCTTTGAAAGATATTATTGATCATCAGCTCTTCGACATGTACACCATCGTTAAATGTTTTATTGCCGACATGTATTTGTTTTCGTCGATATGCCTGTGTGATAAATGGAACGAAATCAAAGATGCCCGGTGGATCGCTAGTTAGTAATATGTTCGAAGAAGATTTTAGACCGGTTACTTGTGCAAAATAGGTTGTTGTATTAATTAAATCGCCATCAATCAGAGCATCAGATATGTAGAATGCGTCCAAAAATCGATTTTGACTAATAGCATAGCGGAGAAGGCTCGATTGAAGATTAAAATAGAACAATTGTTGATCATCAATCAAACCGATCTAAATAGATCGATCGAATGATAAGAAGGGTGGGTACAAAACAAGAAGCAAGAAGAATACCTGATAGAGCAATGGTCCGTATTCGTACTGTCGATAAGGATCTGTCCAACCGTTGCCGATGGCAATACCTTTAAGATTAATTCGTGTTTGGACGTCGGGATTTTGATTTTCAACATGAATCTTGTATGCAATCGAGGGTACATATTTGCCGGCGTAACTTTGACCAGTCACATAAAATGGATTTAGGGCATAGTCGGTATAGATTCGAAAGAACTGGGTTAATGTCGAATAGAGATCACGCACAATGTCGTCTTGTGATCAAGCATAGCCTTGTTCGTTTGAAGTAAAACTATAGCCCGTACCAACAGGGTTGTCAATGTATAAGACATGGTTAACCGAATTCCAAGTGATAGTTCGTTCGGATAATATTCCGTTATAATCTACTTGAATCGGACCATTTTCGTTGAACAGGCCATATAGCGAAGTACCACCTGGGCCGCCTTGAAGCCATAGTATCACAGGAGCACTAACGTTACCATTTAGAGCAGGAAAAAACCAGAAAAATATGTTCGAATTGTAGTCCTTGTTAACAGTTAAATAGCCTGAAAATGACGATCGATTGAATAGAGGTAAATACACTAAACTATTCGAATGAGTTGAAAATTAGATATGGACACATGGAGGAACAAATGGCTCACCTAAGATTTCTTGCCTTTTCAAGTTGGCCCTTTTCAAGATACGATGTAAGAAAGAGCGGATCACCCACATCGTCTTTAGGATCTATTGGAGTCACCGGTCGAGTTGGAACCATGTGCCGCGGAGATAGCCCATGGATAGAACCCACGAGTAAGTATAGTAGTACAACAGTTAAACGTCTGAACATCATCTGAAAGTATAATTAAAGTTTTACATAATGAAAATATTCCCGATTTCATTTGAAAATCTCAACATACCTCAGGTAGCCCTTCGTTGCGCTTTTTCCACTTTCCATACATCTTCGAACACTGAACTAATTCACCATCTTAAATAGGCGCGATTGTTCTACGAATAAATAAAATGTGTGCGAGATAGACGGTTAGTGACGCGTAAATTTGATAGTTACTCAGGACAGGACAATATCAGCTTGGAGGAGGAAGGTGGGAAGGTGTTTTGGCAAGGTAAAGAGAAAATCGATCGACCATGGAAGACAACAGGGAGAAATTCATGGCAAAGGTAAGAACAAAAAGGAAGCAAATGGCCTGAGGAGGAAACTGAAGGGCGAGAAAGCGGTGCTGATCGCAACATTATCTAAATGAATACTAAAACACCAAATGAAAACTTTGCACATCACAGTATCATAAAAATCAGCTTCAAACACTGGCGGCCGAATGTTGTTCAACGTATGGAGGACTCGAATCAACACAAAAAAACGTGTGACGTTATTATTGGGTCTTGCTGCTCCACATGGTTCCGTCTCGGCAAATCACGAGAACAAAAGTGGAACAAATAGTGCATGTTAGTGCACGACTTGATTGCAACCAGTCATAGACCATATACAAGATGTCCAACCAGTTTCCGCAAAATTGGTGGAAGAGCTAAACTGGTTGGACATCTTATATAAGGTCTATGATTGGTTGCAATCAAGTCGTGCACAAACACTTACTATTTGTTCCACTTGTTTTTTCTCTGTCTATTCGACAACTTCTCACACTCAGAGATAAGAGAAAATGAAAATGACAAACGAGTATAATATAATCAGCCAACGAATCTAAATCTGAAAGCAACGCAATTGAAAAGACCAAAGCCGATATATAAGCGAGAAAAAGGAAGAAGAAGGATATCAGAAAGAAAATGCATTCACGTGACTCGTAATACGATAAGGTCGTGATATTGCTGTGTTTAAAATTGATTGTATACTGTCTGTTTTATTCTCTTCAATATCTTACCTTCTCGTAACACTTTTTAACTTTCTTTCTCTCTCGCTTAATGTCAAATGTTAGTCTAACCGAAAGGTTAGAAATTGTTCTGCGCTTCGGTTCGGTTGGCAGAACCACTTACGTCTGTTGGTAGCTGGCCCTAACAGCAACTGGGCGCATATGTGGGCATACTGGTGGCGTCAGGAATTTGACGATTTCACCGCTGGTAAGTTAGACAATAGGAGCCGTTCCTGAAACACGTGGGTTCTACACTATCCGTTTCTTCTTTTTGTTTCTAGTCGTAGGCGTGGCTGGTGGCAGTACTGTTAGTGGGGATGAGCTGGAAGAAGGGAATTTAGTCGTCTTTGTAGCACTTGACGACATGATTATGAGCAAATTACAGGATTATGATGACCTCCATTATTATTTTTGAAAGATACATGTTTTTTCTCCGTTGTTTTTGTTTTGTTGCTCTTAGTTGTTTTTACTGTTATTTGATACATGTATTCCTCTCTGTTTTATATTACATTATATTTGTGCTATACTAATTGAACATGTAGTTTGCAATGGAAATAATTCCATCAATTTTGTGAAGTAGTCTATGACTACTAAAATGTATTCATCACCTCTTTTTGTTCGAGGTAATGGACTAGGGATATATCAATAGTAGACGATAAAGTCTACCATCGATTAATTTATGATACTTCGCCGCGATTCCGCGATAAGAAAATTATAGATTCTGACAGTACTTGAAATTCTCTATCAATCTCTATACTTTGGTCTTTCCTTGCTTTTATGTGCGGAAAAATAATCCAAGTATAAAGTGATTAATCTCTTTGAGAAACCAAAAAAAATCGGTTGTTTTAGCAAGACTTTTCTGTTTATTTCAACGCTATTATTAGTGCAAAGATAAATTGTAATTATAGATTCTGATAGAGCTTCAAATTCTCTATGAATCTATATACTTTTAAGAGCAAAAAAGCGAGAGGACTAGTGATGGTGAAAAATATAGGCGTTTGGGAATCTCATCTTGAGAGCATCTTCATTTCACTCGATTTATTTTTCAATACATGAAGTCAAGATAAAATTGAAATACACAGTTTTGTACAGAATTTCACGCACTATCTAATGGTATATTCACTTTTCTCAAAACATCCTTTTATGGTAAAGAGCTCAAATACTGAATCCAGCTTTTGCTTTCCAGGGATAAATAATGTTCAATGGCTTGATGATACTGTTCTAGTTTACAGTAACTCTTTCCAGCATCTTCGTGCACTGTAGCCAGTTCAACACACTGCTTATTTATTTTTGAACGTTGTACAATTTCTAAAACGTTGAAATTACAAAGTAAAGCTAATTCGTATTTTTTAGAATCTGAATAAACATTGGCTAACTGTTGATTAATTAATATGATATCTGGATGATTTTTTGTACGAAATTTTTTCGCTGTTACTAAAGCTTTTTTTAGATGTTCGGTAGCGAGAATGAAATTGGGTAGTTTATAATAAATTAGACCTATGTTCTCATGTACAATGCTTAACTGATTATGGTCTGTTAGACAAAATTCTTTTGTTATTTCCAATGCTTGTTGACTGTGTTTGAGACCATATAAATAATTTTCTTGATTAGTATAGACACAGGCGATACTGCAATGAAGCTTTTCTATCCATTCAATCCCATCACCATCAAGACTTTGTAACCCTTTAACGAAATATTCTAATGCAGCATCGTTCTCGTCTCTCTAAAAATAAATTTCACCTATTAAGTGTAAATCACGGAAAATTGGATCCAAATATTCACAAGGAGATAAATTTAAATGGATTTCGTATGCTTCTATTGCACATTTTAATGCTAAATTATATTTCTCATTCCCATTATAAGCTAATGCAAGACCATAGAGAATGTCATGCTTGTCATTTGTGGTAAGTGATGTTTGTTGTAATGCTTTTTGAAAATATTCAATACTCTTACTTCTATATCCCATAGTGAATAAAAAATGTCCAAAACTGACAGAATTGTTTTGCTTGTGCAACATTACTTGTCGTTCTCTATCAATATAATCATTTTTTGAATATTCAGTTGCGATCATCGACATAATCCATTTATTTTCTTTGTCTTGCCTGACATTTGTAATCCGAAATGTTGAACCCAAATCGAAGAGAAATTCGTCGTCATCTGATATCGTGCTCCATTGGGATATATCTGCATAAACAATACCATCCATAGTGGCATCAATTATAATCTCAAATAAAACATTAGCAGCAAATGTTTCTGCAATATCTCGACGAAGGCTTGTTGATAAGTAACCATTTGTACTTATATGTTTACCAACTGATTGTTTTAATTGTTCAATTTCACTACTGGCTAATGTCAGACCACGATAGACGTATATTGTCTCTATTGATGATTCGCAATACATATCAAAATTCTTTTTAAATAATTCTGTTAACTTCTGACATAAAGCAACAATGAAAAAGCGAAATTTATATAATCCATCAATATCTTCACTTCTTAATACTTTGTTAACAAATCGAAACAAAAAACTATCTTTAGTGTATCAATAAATTGCATTAGACGATTGGTACGTGCATTCAAATTCATCAATCTGTTTCAAATATGTCGGGTTATAACGATAATATAAACGGCAATAATCCAACATTTCTAGTTTACATTCTTGCGTTTGTGAATTCATACTCATTAATGCGTCTCGAAGTAGTTGATGCCATGAATAATCCACAGATTCTTCTTCTAAATCTCTAACTGATTTACTATTTGTATAATCAAACAAGCTAAATATTGATAAATGTTTTAATAACGAATATATATGGCTTTTTAAAATTGTAAATAGTTCTTCATATTCCGTATAAATAACAATTAATTTTGAGTACTTTTTATCATCTACTCTTATCATCATTCTGAGTACTTTTTATCATCTTTTTATCATCGATTTTTCAATAATGTCAACAACATCACACATTATCGAGCATAGATGACAATGCCCATGTAGATAATCTGTCAGCTGATTAATTTCGGGGCTTAAAAGATCATCAAACCATATCAATGTTATATCTTCATCTGGGATTATTCATTAATGATTTTCTGTCTTAACGAGGAAATTCAAAATAAATTGTCAACTGGGAACAAAAGCTATAAATGCTTTTAACCGGATGTTGTAGGTGGACGAGTGATCTTTATTCAATATCAGTACACTTTTTGCCATTTCAAGGTCTAGCCGTCGTGCTGAACGCTTATGAAAAACGGTACTGGTAGATCGACGTTTATGTGAAATTAAATTTAGCTTGTTCATGTTTGTGAGTTAAACGTAAAATGGAATATAAATAATAACGCTAATTTTCTTGCGCGTTTGATTTCTAACAGTGAGATTTTGCTTCGATGAAATATTTAACTTCTTCAAAAAGATATCAAATATCTCGTTCTCAAATGAACAGAAAAGTACAATTTAACAAACAAAGCACAATTGCAAACGAGAGCCACTTCGCAACAGCAGTTGTCCAAGTCAAAATAGCGGTAGCGTACTTTGGTATCGTCCAAATCCAATTTTTGTAAGACCTCATATGTGAATAGAGAAGCTAGCATTTGCCTATGAAATGGCAAAAAGCTGTTGGACTCTATCTAACTTTGATCAAAAGTTATTCAGACAAAAGCAGTGTGCATTAGTTTTTTTCAAACACAGCAACTAAATAGTAAAAACTTCATATTTTGCTTGAGTATGTTACCTTGATTGCACACACGAATGTTTACAGTCTTTTGAAGTAAAATATTTGAGTGAAATTAACCTTGGCGGCAGAAAAATAAAATAAAAATAACGCATTCTTTTTCTTCTTTTTTCAGTTCAACATTCTTATTCAGCAGTTGTATGTACGTACCGAGAATATAACTGACATACGTTTTCGCCATTACAAGTGGTATACATAGTAGCTACCGAAGGTGCCATGCATATCACACAGTATAGCAAAATTCTAAACAGGGATTTTAGATTCAACGATCAGATTCAACTTCCTTAACTTGGTTTCATAGACTCAACAATAGTGTAGTCATACTAATATTATAAGCGATATTTTAGGAAACGTGAAGATACCTGTATATTACAGTCGTTTTTAGAAGACGATGATTTCAGAAGACATTTTATTGGCGGACTTTGCTGTACAACCTTTGGCGCTCATAAAGCTTACCTGTTGGATTGATCAATATTTTCTTTTCATCCGAACTATAGATACGTCCCAGCTATGTTTATTCTTTTTCCTCAGTAGATTTCGCCAAATTACTATCCATTGCAAGATACAATGCCTCTGATTGTGTTTTGAATATCTCGAGAATGGAATATGATAGAGAGTTCGGATCTTTACCATTCAAAAGAAGAGACTTTGAGGCACATTTTATAACAGATGTAATTCCAAAGTACTTTTTAAAGTAGGTTTTTGAGGAGATCTTTGAAAAGCCAACTCATAGCTCAAAAACCTCAGCTGCAAATACTTTCGATTTTCTTCATGGACAGACAATCCAGAGTGTTCTCTTCAAAATGGGGCCAACTGAGAACTTGATTTTTAGTGGTTCGAGCGAGGTATCCGATTTCCTTGGACTATACGTAATCGACCACACTGGATCTAATGGCAGCGTTTATCTTGCAAAAAGAAATCAAAAACAGGGTGAAAACCGAAGTTTTCAGGCTCTTTTCACTTAATATTAAAACATTCACAATTCACTCGAAAACATCAAAACGAGTTGGAAACTTCAGAATGTACAGTATTTACGCTATCATATATCCAACTTATACAAAATCCACAAAAACTAATTTACAAATGCCTATGGTTGCTCGAAAGACCTTCCAGAAAACTTTTGATCGAAAACATGCTTTTTAAACTTTTTCGATCGTACAATCATGTTAACTGAAAACTTCGGTTTTCACCCTGTTTTTGATTTCTTTTTGCAAGATAAACGTTGCCATTAGATCCAGTGTGGTCGATTACGTATAGTCCAAGGAAATCGGATACCTCGCTCGAACCACTAAAAATCAAGTTCTCACTTGGTCCCATTTTGAAGAGAACACTCTGGATTACCTGTTCATGAAGAAAATCGAAAGTATTTGCAGCTGAAGTTTTTGAGCTATGAGTTGGCTACAACAAAAATCATGCTGAATCTGAATCTACACAGCTCTAGCTATTTACTGACGAGAAAATTTTATTGTTTGAACTTGGCTAGAAGAAAAAAGTTCGATTTCCATGACGAACGGTTTTTTCAGAAGGTCCTATTGGTAAAGTGACTGATCACTCTACATCCTATCAGGTTACAGGACAGGTTTTCCAAAAAACTAGCTGTTTTAGATAAAATCCAGATTACCTTAATTGGGGAACACTTTTAAGAAAACCAAGGTCATAATCGGAATTTGCGCATCAAACTGTATCGAACGATGTATGACATAAAAATATTTCAGAAAAAAGCTTTTGAGGAATAATTTAGATAAAGTTCTTCCTTATAGATAGAAGCAAATTTTTTTGGTTTAAAATGGTTCAGCGTGCAACAGTGTATACTTTTTCTTTCTTTGAAACATTGTTTAATACGTTTCTGAAGGAGAGCGTAGACCGTGATAACATTAGAAAGACAGCTGGAGGAAAATCGTGGTCTACGTTCTACTTCAAAACGTATTAAAGAACATTTCAAAAATTGACATCACATTATGCTTCATACCATGAAGCAAGCACTTCGAAAATCCTTTAACAGATAGTGAACAGACGCGTACAAGAAGCAATAGTAATGTGAGCGTGCTCAAGTTAAGACGAATAACACCGCTAGAGTCAAAATCAGCTGAGGGTATCAAAACATGTTTAGATGACTTGGATGTTGACCCCAAAACACAACGATCCCAATCGATAGTCACTAGTTTACGAGAAATTAGTGTCCTCAAAGTAAAACGCAAGCAGTCTTTCATGCCGAACGAAAGCATAACTAATCCAACTATACAGATTCCAGAAACAGCCTTATCTCAATAACTAGCAACCAATGTCACTGATGGAAAAGGCGTCGTAGTTTCAAAAGTAGCGATCGGTCATCCAACATTAGCCTTTGCGATGCTCAGCCTTTAAAGGACAATGAACAAACTCGTACAAGAAGCAATAGTAATGTGAATGTGCTCAAGCTAAAACGAATTGTATTGCAAAGACAAAAGCCAGCTGAGGATATCAAAACATTTTCCTTGTCTAAGCCTTAATGCGATGGTACTCATTAAGCACCAGAAGCACCAGGAACTACTGACAGCTCACAATCGTCGTAAAATTCATTACAATTAAAAATTACTACACCACGCATGTCTGTTTTTGATGTACTGAAAAGAACCTCATTATCAAAACAAGTTATCAACACTGTATTGCAAGTAGACACAGTTAAAGTAACTCACATTATATCATCTCACGTTAATAATGAATTGCCTTCCGTTTCCGGACAAATCTTAGACGAGCGCTATACTAAAGAGCCGCATGATACATCTAAGAAAGCTAATGGTGTTATCGCTACTACAGTGTTACATTCAGAATCATCTCAAAATGTCCAAAACGAAAATGCAAAACGAAAATGCATTCAGTCTAAATTATGAATCAGTTGTTGAGTATCATTAAGCATGCACCAATACAGTATACACGAAGTTTCCCAAACCCATTTAACAAAACGACTTGAATGCATACTGTGCACTTCAATACATTCAAAAATATCAACTGTTGGTAAATGAAAACCTGCACTACTTATCATTGCACTTATTGCTATATGTCTTTCTAAATTCGCCTAAGACACGATGTTGTCGAGAAGAACGAAAACTTCTAACTCGATTACATACCTCTTCCATCGCCTGAACGTATTCTACCTTATCCCGTACTATCTAACCAAATATGTCACTTCTCCTCACCACTATTCACCCAAGTCTCATCATGCTAATAAATCAGTGTACCGTCTCCCGAAGCTCTTCAAGTTTCCTAAAATAATGTGCCCGCTGAGCGATAAAAAACGGCGCATCTAACGGAACGGTAGCTTTTGATATTTTGGCATAGATAAATCCAATTTCTTTCATATTTTTTGATAAAGTTGGTCTACTATGGATCGGAAAGTCAGAAAAATCAGCTCGTAATCACTCCAGTAGTTTCTCCAATGTTGGATATTCCTTCTCAGCGAGTAATAGGTGGAAATGATATCTAATCATATCTTGGTCGTATTCTGACAGGCGAATTTCATGCCGACCTAACTGAGCTTTTTTCGTTGGCGAATCGGAGTCTCGAGTTGAGATGCAGAAAAACTATCAGTTGCTGTTATCGTCGGTAACGATCGAAGTTTTATTGCAGCTATGTTGGTTGTTTCGTTGTCAACATCCTTCATTTCTTTTTTCAAATTGAATATGGTACTGTGTGAAACATCGAGCATCAACTGTAGGTGTTCAGTGGCATTATTCAGTGGACCATCTTTTTCCTTAGAAACAAAACTGATTACTCGAAACATTACCTCTTTCACATCTGTAGAAAATTCGTTGCCTTTAGGCATTGTATAGACGAAAACGTTTTGATAAGTTTAACGCGTTTTTCTTGTAGATGATTTCAGCATAAGTGTACGTCTCCGGTTTCTTCTTCACTTAATCAGATTTTCTTTGAATTCCATTCATACTACATTCCTTCTTTTTCTTTCTGACTTGATTCTCGTGCTTCTTTACAGTTTGTATCGTTTTTAGAATAAATGTCCATATAATGATAAGAAAAAAACATGAAGAGCACCGATTCTGTGTTCAAGAAAGTGAAAATGTTTTCGTTCTCGATTTTCCTGCACTCAATGTTCTGATGCTTATTTCATGATAAAATATGATACAGTTGGATAACAGTTTCGTTTCATTCATGTTTATGTAACATTATACTGATTTAAAATCAAGTGAAGTAGTTTTAATGTAGTACAGTAGTTATGACTCAGCGTGGTCGATAATCCCTGTCTACAGTCATTTGTGAGATTCCCACGTGTGAGAATTGACCAGTTCTGAGGCTCCCGGGAAACTCGATGTCAGGTCCAAGCGATCGAAGATGAGAGTTACGCTTGACTCCCATTTTAAAGAGAACACTTTGGACTATCTGTCTACGAAATAAAATCAAACCAATTGTATTTCAAGTTTTTGAGCAATGACCTGATTTTCCAAAGATCTCCTGAAAAACCCGCTTTAGGGAAAGATTTTGAAAATGACTTTCATTGTGAAAAGATGCAATTAGGTCCTGGCTTTCGATTAACGAAGGCCACAAGCATCTACCACTTTTCTGTCAAACGTTATTCAAAAAGCATCCGAGTCCATTCTTTTTTTTTACCGGCAATGGTGCGTTTACATTTGAACTTGTCGCTTAACAAGGATGCAGTGGAACGGTTATTACGTTGCTGCTAGTTATTATTGGTGTTGTGATGTATGACTGAGCAGCAGCTACTTTAATTAGAAATTGGATTGGTACAGAACTAAAGACTGATGTTGTTGTAGAATTCCAAAAGTTTTCGATCATAAGTGTCACGGCGTAATATACATTGGCTGATTTTTCATTATTGTCAAATACAAATGTACAATTACTACAGGGTGTACCTTCAGGAACGGTTTGGCAAACATCACCACATTCATTGTATGTGCTTCTTAAAGGCCCATCAACATCTACAGATATATGAGTATAAAAATGCTCAATTTAAGTTTTGGGCAAAGAAAAATTTTGAAATTATTAAAATCGAAGATAAAAGTATTATTTATTCAATAAAAGAAAAAAGGTCTGTTGTCACGTACGAAAATTTGTTTGATAAAT